ATTTCCATAAAAGATTAGGCATCTTTATGTACGCTGGATATTCTGAATATAAATGACCTTCGCAGAACATTAAATGTCAGTGATTTTATAGTCAAAGCTTAATGTCTTAGATACACCAAATGAACTAACACATGACTCTAAGCTCACTGGCACTGAATGCATATGAATTATTTGAGAAAATAAGTGATATTAATTAATAATGTAACAATCATGAAAAATTTACAAAAATCAGCAAAAATTAAAGAACATTAAGTCTATATGTTAGTATCACATTCATCGTCATTCAACATAGATAGGTTGCATGGGGTTTTGTTACCTGTTGCGATATGTGGATACAGTTAATAAAAACCTACTGTTACATCACCCATTTATCTACACTGGCTTTAAAAACGAAAGATAAGTTTTCCTCAAACACTAAAGCAAGCAGTAATCAGCAGAAATGCACTACTTACTTGCGTAGTGAGGAACATTTGGAAGTGTATGGAACAATCTAAAAAACAGCTCTTTTAGGTTATTGTATTTTCCTAGAATTTTTTGTTTTACGGCTCCACCTTTACATATTTTGAAACTTTAAAAACGTTTTACATTCTCGATATAAAGTAGAAAATAATTTGCTGAACTATACGAGTACGCTTCAACTCTGCAACTCTGCTCTTTACTATCAGCTACTGCTATTAGTAAGTACTTCAACGAAAATCTACCGCAGAAGGTGTCATTTTCCCTTCAGTAAGAGAGAACCGAAGTGTTAATTCATTGCATTTGTCAATAAGTTGATCGCCAGATGTTCAAAAGCAACGTTACCGTACTGAAAGACTGGCACTCTACAACACATTACGATATGTAGTAAATTTTGCAATATTGTATATTTAATTAATTTTTTAATAAATTTTTGTAAGTATCAAACAGAAGGGTTGTTATCATATTTTTAAAAATATCCATGAAATTATTATTTTAAGAAAATATTTCTCTAAGTTGTATACCAAACTTTACTTATTGCTGACTCAGCTAGCGTTCTCGTTTCTAGGAACGTATACTACGCTAAATGGGATTTGTGACTGTAGTTAGTCATTATCTATCAT